TGATACAGTGACCACTTCTCAAATTATTTCTAAGCCTGATTCTCACAGGTTGTTTGGTGTTCCCATGACTACATGCAGAAAAGGTGAAAGCAAAAGTAGTTACATCACTCTGAAGGAAGAGCTGCTATTGATTACTGAAGAAGAGCCTGTAAAAATTTCTACAATAATGAAAGACACTCAGCATTGAAAGTATACCCACCTGGTCTTCCTGACAATGTTAGGTAAGGCTTTTTGTCTTGTATGATTAGATTCTGAGATACTTGGTCGACAAAAGATCCTAAGAACATCAGGATAACCTAAGGATGTTTCATCCAGAAAATGAGGCCATCTGAACAAATCAATACAGCTGTTATATTCATGTCAGCCTTTTACTTTGCCAGGTTTCAACAGACTCCTTGCAGCTGCTAGTTACAAACTAGAATAATAACTGACATTTTATGTCTGGAGAAATCTTTTGGACCAAAACCTTCTTCCTGATAAAGCTTCTTTGTGATGCTTTAAAGGCACAAAGCAGTCTTTAAGATGCTTTTATCAGTTATATTCAGATTCAGCTGTCACAGGGAAATCTCCATATAGTGAAGAGCTGATCGTGCTGAGTTTGCACTCTTCCCATCATGGCTCTGATTTTGCAGCCATACTGAGAGGCAGATGTATGGCTGAGGCATTCCTATGCTCTAGTAACCCCCTGCTGTGGAGCTGTGTCTTGTCTCTTTTTCCAGGCACAGCCTAGAGTTCACATGAACCACTTTGCAGGCCCCTTTGGGAATCCACTGACATGCCCTCCAAAATGTCATTTGACTCCAAAGTCAATTTGGCATGGGCACAATGGCACTCTTAATAATAGGGGGGCCTGGGGACCTCAATATATTTTTAATAGTCTCAACAAGAGAGTAAGAAGGCCCTAAGATTACTGAGACACAGTTCTGTTATGCCATACTAATATTCCTTGCCAAGTGTCAAGTAGCTTTGTAACTTGACTTGGGACTTGAAAGAAAAGAAAAATGTTACATAGTAAATGCACAAAGGCACATATAGCTTACTTCTGGAAGAGCTGAGGAATGTTTCACCTTAAATGCTTGTCATTTGGAAAACCGTTACTTTTTAGGAAATTAAAGTAGAAAGTCATAGCTTGGGCAGGGGAATTTTGTTCCCCTAAATAAATGGGCTATCATGTTAGACATTATTGCCTAGTAGCAGTTGAAATAAACTCTGAGGAACCCCTATCTCATGCATAGGATGCAATAAATGAATGTGTATTTCCACAATACAGATCCTCTTGGGCATTGCTTCAGCAATAAAAAAGAATATAAATGTAATGTTTTTATTATTCAGTTAATAAGCACCTCCAATCCAGAGTATAGGATGAGGAAGCTGCAAGTCAAAAAACTGCATCAGTGCCAGAAATGTAGAAAGTGGCTCCTGCTTTGTGTTGCTCAGATCCACAATAGGTATTGATTAAGAAAAAAACCATAACCACCTTCTGCAGAAACTGTGGAGAAGCCATGTGAAGCACACAAACCATGACACTTAAGAGTTAGCATTCCATACAGAAGTAGTGCCAAACTGCACCTGAAACAGCAGGGTTAATAAGGATGTACTATACTGTTCCAAATTACAAATGTTCAGCTGAATGACTGTTAATTGCAATAAGCAAATTCACACAAGAAACAATGGTTTGCTGCCCTCTTTCTCTCTCCCTCTCTCAGGTTTACTTCCAGAATTAAAAATAACCTGTTGATGCCACCTCTGGGAAGATAGGACTGGGAACGATCCCCCTCTATAAACACACAATGGCCATTTTGTTTAGGAGATCTCAGAGCAATAACTTTTCTGCATCCCCACTCACCAAGAGTCACCAAACCCTTTTGGTAAGAGGTAATAAAATTAAGAGCTGCAGTTAAAAAAAGGCTAAACCTCTCAAGCACAATATCAGAGAAGACTATAGCCAGTACCCATGCAACAATATATTTACCAGGTAAATCTCCCAGAAGATTCTGAGAAGATGGCAAGGGGAACATGAGACAGTTCTTTGCCAGGCTCACCTGAGGGAAAAGGTTTTGTGGTGACACAAATCTGGCAATCACAGTATGCCTGTGAGCAAGATCCACCACAAACCACCTGATGACTTAATGTCACCAGCCCTTTCTACATCCTGTCTCTGACTAATTTCCAGTGCCTCAGAGGCAGTTGAAGAAAACCTCACAAGCCAAATGTAGATGGGGCAGAGGACCAGAAGCAGGCCTGAAAGTTGGGAATGATTACAGTACAATGTCAAAGGTCAGCAGCTCAGCTATCTTCAGATCCCCTTTGGACACAACAAAGCATCGTGTCCTGATTTAAAACCATGTAGGTGTTTGTTCCTGGAGTACTGTTTGCTTGCTCTTGGAATGGTTAGAAAACTTTTCAATCTAAGTATACTCATGACCAATTTATGACCATGCATCACTGTTTTAATGTAATCCTTTAATTTAAAGAATTTAATTGATATTTACTGCCTGAATCACACTATTTTGGCTTAATTTGGCTAGTTGAGGAAGATAAGTTTGCTTGCTTGCAGCTCCCATTCAAGAACACAGATACTCTGCTCCCTCGCCACCCCAGTATTCTTCTTCTGCACCTGTGGCAACCTGAGTCAATCTTTTCTGACCGTAAATCACCAGAACTGGATGCAATTTTCCAAACAAGGTTCCTCAGCTGTGCTGCGTAAAGCCATATTAATACTTCCCTCTCTCTACTAAAAATACCATACTTTGTGCATCATAGACTCAAGTGAGTCTTTTCCATCGCCATTCTGCTGGCAGCTCACAGTCATTTTCTCATGGAGGAACTCACCCCCATAGTAAGGTCAGAGCAGTCTTAGTCAAATATCTGCATTTGTCCCTCTTGCAGTTTAACTTCAGCTGGATTAGTTTGTGATCACTCAGTTCATGATCAGTTTCAACACTCTGGCCTTCTACAAGGTCCTTGCTGCTTATTAATACCAGTCCTAAAATAGCATCCTCTCTCATGGACTGTTTGCTTGAGAAATCGAGTTTCTACAACACTCCAGAACATTTAAGCCCTACCAGTTCCCAGTGGTACCTTCCAGTCTGTAGCTGAGAAATTAGTTTGCCATAATCACATGCCATTTGCTCTTCTATGTCTTCCAAATAGTTTTTGGAGCTAAGTATCCCTGTCCAAGCTTGTAAGGGATTATCACTCTTCTCTCAGTGGGTATTTTTTATTCTTTCCTCTCAGGTGATTTTCCAATGTAATGCACTTTTATTTTACTTCTTCAAACAATTTACTAAAATATAGAGCTACCCCATGGTCTTTACTATAATTTCTGCTGTTTTAAGTAGCTACCCCTCCAACGACTATATTCTAAATAATACTGCCAAGCAGAAGTGTTCAGCATATCACAGCAGCATTGAGGCAACACTTTAAGCCCCAGAGAGAATCTTGCTTATAACACAGAATTCTAAACCAATTAAAGACTAAACATTGGTGACATATCTTGCTGTAATAATTGTATTAGAAATCTCTAAAATTTTGGAATCACAATATGGAAAAAAAAACCTACCAAAGCAATAGAAATGGTAGGTATTTCATCAAATCATCACTTTATCCCCTCATCAACAGACATTTTTCTAATGTGGAAAGGCTTCTGACATCTTTTAAATGGTATATGAATTTGTTTTCTCTCTTTGGGGAAGAATACATCAGCACAGCTGCTAGAGCTACAGGCACTGGAATCCTATTATGCTTTCTACATTTTTTTCTTTTCTTTTAGAGCAAAACAAGGGGACACAAATACAACAGCAAAAAGAGTGGCAAAGGAGGAAATTGCAGGTTCGTCTCTGATAGAAACTTATTTGCAGCCCTGCTGCTGGAGAAATCCAGGCTTGGTGCACAATCTTTTCTGCTGGTCCGGAGCCAAACAGTCTTGAACAAGTGATGAGAACACGTAAGACATCCATCTGAGACTGTCTTTCTGATGGCAGGTTCACGGCATCGTTTCAAAAGCCGCAGTTGTCTTGACAGCTAAGCCAGCCTTTGACTGGGGACAGCAGCAAAGGCGGGAGAGAGGGGGAAAGAGAGAAAGCAGAGAAGTGGGATGAGGAGGAAAAACAGCATACAGGAGGGAATTAGCAGTGCGGCCAAGCTTCGTGATTTAGAGGCTGGCGAGGACAGTGCCGGAGCTAGAGATGTTTAGGTTTGCAGGGCAGCGTGGCGTGGGCGACACGGAGAGCCGGGGGATATGAACATCGAGGAGGGTCAGGATGGATTTCGGGACGCGTGGAGATGCTGCAAGCGGCAACTATGACGCAAAGCTTGTCCGTTCAGGATCACGCATCCAACTGTTCCTCCCTAGTGATCCCTCCATAAACAGCGTCCAAAAAGGACGGTGACCTCATCCCACTGAAATTAGCCAAACACCACACATTTCTCCGTGTTCAGCTCTGCACATTCCTTAGAGCTGCGGCTCTCCCGGCTGCCAGCCTCTTCGCTGCACCCAGGGCTCCGAATGCCCCTGTGGGGCAATTCCTCCAGCCCACCACGGACCAAGGCTCCGGCTAAGCCCCCATCCCCAGCTCCGGCTGGGCACTCCCGGCTCCGGCTGAGCCCCCGCGCCGCTTCTGCGCCAGAGCCGCCTCTCCCCCTCCCTCCCTCCCTCTCTCCCCGCAGCCCGGTGAGGCGGCGGAGACACGACGAGCCACGACAGCCAACGATGCCCCGTGCAAAAGCGTGACCGCCGGTACAGCCGGAACAAATGCCCCCGGTCGGGACACGCCGCGGAGGTAGCGGAGCACGACGCAGGCATCTATTTCACCTGGCTGCCGGGAGCGACAGGTTCTTTGGGCTGCCAGCGCCGCCCCCTTTCCCCGGTCGCCTGCGGAGGGACGCGGGTTCTTCTCGCAGCCCCGGGGCGCCGGGCAGGGAACAGCCGCACCCGCTGCCCGCCGCCGGGGCTCGGGGCTCGGGGCTGGCACCTACGGCCGGCGGCTGCCGGGGCGCCCCGACCGGCCTCTCCCGGGGCTGAGCGGCTCTGGCCCGCTGCTCTTTCCTGATCTCTTCCAGACCCTTCTCCCGCTCCCAACCGCTGTTTTCGCTCCCTCCCATTCTTCCCACTGGCGTTTTCTTTGTTTAAGAAACGCTATTGTGTTCGAGGCGCCTCTTTGAGCGGGGCTGCTGCACCTCTCTCGGGACAGGCAGGGGAAGCGAGCGGCTCTCCCGGAGCCCCGCGTCCCGGCGCCATCCCCCGCGCCCTTCCTTCCCCCAGTGCCCAGCAGCAGCGCCCGCCCTCCGGCCGAGCCCCCACGGCTCCGCCTGCACCACGCCAGCCCGGAGCGGGACGCGCCGTGCCCCGCAGCCCAGCCCGCGCCTCCTTCGCCGGGCGCGGGGCCCCTTCGCCCGAGCCGTGCCCGCGGGAGGGGTGACAGCAGCATCAGGTGCAGCCGGGGCCAGCGGCCAGGGCAAGCCCGGCCCCCGGCTGCCGCCTGCGCGCTGAGCGGCTGTGCCGGGCCCGCCCTCGGTGACTGGGAGGAGCCGGGAGAGCAGCGGGCTTCGCCGGGGATTTCCAGCCCGAGCGGGCGGGAGAGGAAGTGCGGGGCGGGGGGAGACGGCGCACAGCGGTCGGGACTTTCCGCCGGGCTGGCGGTCGCCTTCGCCCGGCTCCAGCTGCCGCCCGCCGCCCCGCTCCCCGCACACGCTCACAGGTAGGGCGGCCGCGGGGCTCGGCTCGGCTGGGCGGCGGAGAAGGAGGAGGAGGGAGGGCGGGAGCTTCGCTGCCGCCGTGGCGGCGGCTCCCGCGCGGGGCTCCGGCACCGGCCGCGCTCGCCTGCCCGCGCTCGGGCGCCCCGGGCAGGGGGACGGGGCCGGGCGGGCGGCGGGAGCCGGGGGCGCTCCGGCGGGGGCACTGAGCTCTGACCGGGGCATCTGCTGCCAGGCAGGGGCCGAGCGCGCTGCACCCGCAGCCCGTGCCGGGACCTCGGTGGCGGCCGGTGCCCGGGGATAGATCAGCCTGCGGCGGAGCGGCGCGGACTTTCCTGCCCGGACGCACTCGTACTCCAGGGCTTTGCAGGTGCTCCTTTTCGCTTACTTATTCCTGCCTCCCCCTTCCCTCCCCTGCTCCTCTCGCTCTGTGCCCCGCTCCCCGCGGTGCGTGCGCGCTGTGCGGGGAGCGGAGGGAGGCGAGGCCGGAGCGGAGCCGGGGGCCGCGGCGGCGCTTGCGGCGTTTGATGTGTCGTTTGAATGCAGAAGGCTCGCTCGCTCCTGGCTCCTTCCATATGCAGTGCTGGGGGCGGGCCGACGGCCTTTAAAGGGGCATTGCCGGCAGCGCCGCGCCTGGCGCGGAGCGCGGTCCCGGCTGCGCGTCCCCCCGGCTGCCGCTGCGGCGGAGCCCCCGCCGCTCCCCGGCCATGGGGCTGCGCCCGGAGCCGCCAGCGGAGCTGCCCCTCTTCGGCGCGCACCGAGTTGTATTTTCGCAAAGCCCGCCTGCCTGCACCGGCGCTGCGCTATCCCCGTCTGCCTGCCGTGAGCGGAAAGAAAAGTGTTTTGTTTTCACGCCATTCATTTCATGCGCTGATTCGCGACGCCGCGTTTTAGCGCGTTGAATGAATCGCCGTGTTGTAGGTTAGAAAAAATAATGAATGTTTAAAAGTTTATACTGAGTCATTCCTTCTGCAGATTAACCTATGACTGACTCATAATCTGAGAACTGCAGTGGCTTGTAAAATAGGAAGGTAAGGCATTTACGTCTTGCTTTATTTGTGTCTTTTGAGTGCCTGAGATCTGAATTACCTGCAGAAAAACAGGATAAATGGTATTAATGTTAAGAGGCATAATCTCATGTTCTGTCGATCAGAGCTTGTGTGTGACGTGACAGACTGTATGTGCTCCTCTGCGCGGATCTTTACCATGCAGTAGGGCATCTTTCATCTTTTGCTGTTTCTGTAGTAGTAAAATGTGGGAAGTTCCAGTGATACAATTTGAAATATGTCTTTGGGTCTATGACTTCTCTAACTTGTTGGGATCTGAGCCTTATATACTGTATATTGTAATTGACGTGTTTTATATTTCTTCAGTAGAATGGTGTGTTTTTCCTTGCAGATTTGTCCCATAGGATGCACGTAGCATTATTGAGCACTAATCTGAACTTGCATTCGTAGGCTGGAAAGGAGTTTAGTGCATGATGCAAAGGTGCACTAGCAGTGTCTAGCTTAGACAAATGAAATAGTATAATTTGAAGTAGTTGGTAAAAATCTGCATTTAAAATGGCTATTGACTTGCCTAGAAGCCTGGGTTAAAAGGCTGCACCGATGGTTGTTCAGAACTGGAGAGACCATAGCATACACTGCATGTTGTCCTTTTAAAGGAACCATTGGCTCATGCCACATATGGATTGAGATCTAAATGCTATTTGTGGTGATTAGGGAGAGGGCTGTTCATTTAAGGTGAGAAATACTTGAACATTTGGACGGAATCAGTTTTTGATGGCTGCACTGGGAAACCCCTTGTCATAGAGCTTGGTAACGGAAACAGTGATGTGCAGTGAGCTGGGGCATTGCAAGCAGGCGGCACTAGGGGGTTAGAAAAGTTGGGTTGTTCCAGCACAAGGATGGTAGGTGTTTTACTGAAATATGACTTGGTGAGTTGCTTCTGATAATAGCTGGACTTAGATTATAGAATCATAAAGTGCATTCACTATCAACGCAAATTAATTCTAATCAAAGGGGATGCTAAATGACTCCAGTCTTTAGGCTTTCTTGAAGTCCTCCTATGATTAAGTTTGATGATACCAATTTTGAGAAGCCATTTTGCATGGATTCAGAGAATTTGAGTATCGTGTAAGCATATGTACTGTTGATACATCAGCTTCAGTGACCCAGGATTATTTATGAAGTCTTACTAGTCCATGTTAATTCAGCTTGTCTTTTAAATGATCTTGGGATCATGTTGTATTTTAAGTCTTTGTTCTTGTCCATAATGAACACTGAGAGAAGAAGAATGGCTTCTTGGTACTGAAGTCCAGCTGTTCTATAGTAGATATGGCAACGCTGAAAATACAAAAAGCCAAAACCCTTGATTTTTGATTGATAAGCAGCTGATCATCGTTCTTAGGATGAAAAGGCAGTTTAAAAATAGGGATGACTTAAATCTACTCCAATGTCCTAAACTGGCATGAATGAATAGATATAGTAAAAACACAACACTCTGATCTCTTATCTTAGATGATGTAGTTACTGGATTTCATTAGAGTTTTTTTATTATGATAGTATTTCTTAGTTAAAGGTGCTGCATGTTATGATGTGTGAATATTGCTCATTACACATTGATTTCAGATGTCTGTATACTGGTGCACAGTTCCTTTAAAGAATTGCCAGGGCTTGCGTTTGTGTGTGTTTGGGTTTTTTTTGAGCTGTGGATACTTTCTGAATAGAATGCCTGTATTTGAAACCTCCTTGAATTTTTGGTGTCTGGCTCAGGAACACCAGAAGTGGTGGGAGACATTGGAGATTTCAAAATTAAATGTGGGAAAAATAAGCCAGGGTAGGGAGAGTTGTGTGGTTTTGTGCAACAGAATAAAGGTGTGATTGTAGCACAAGAGGGAGTGCTGAACTTGCACTAGTTTTTATCTTAAACTTTTTAACCTGTGGTGATGAAGTGGTGCTGTAGAAACTTACAGCAGTAAAGGGCTGGCAGGGAGAATATAACTGGTTTCCCAGCTCTGCCTGCTGGAATCCCATGCCCTCATAAATGAATAGTTTAAGGTGAGTATATTCAGTTTTGACAAATAGTTTCATTTTTTTCTGGTCTTCTTTCTTAGAGTAGGTGGAGGGACTAGAGAATTGGGAAAAAAAGGGAGTCAGCTGACAATGAACTATCATTAGGTGCCCACAATGTAGGAAGATGTGTTGTCTCTTTTTGTAATGGGAAAGAAGAGAAAAGGAAACGAGTGCAAAAAAGCTCTCAGGATATCTAAGGGAAGAAAGGAGAGTATCCAGTAGAAACATCTTAGGACTTAAGGAGAAAATGAAGCAACAGGTGATTTGGTATTGAGAATTCCATATGTGTGTGAGAGAGGGAGAGATATTTACATAGTCTTTGAGGGGGTGTTTGTTTTCTTCATGTAGATCTTCTCTTCTGGAGCCCTGATGGAAAAATATTGTTGCCACTTCAAATTGCTCCTGACTTTGTAACTAGGTTAACAGGGCAAGTGTCTCTAAAATTATATATAACAACTGTAGGTCACTAATCCTCTCCACCCCCCAAAAAATGCTAAGCCTTTGATTTCCACTCTGTTGTTCTTCCCCACTGCTTTACTCTGCATGTATAAAATGAGATTTCAGTAGAATTTCAAGTTCTGCTGTTCATCTAGTCAAAGCAGCCTGGGAAGCAAAGTCTCAACATGTCTGTGTGTGCAGAAGTTCAGTATTGTATGTGTGTGATGGATTCCATCCCCTGCTCACTCCTTCTACTGAAACTTGGGGTGTTGTGTACTTGGACATCAAGATTTGCATATTTGCCAGTTGCAGACATTAGAACCTCAGTGGGCATATTAGGAATGCCTCAAGTTGGAATATTTCATCGTTCTGGTATTATTTTATATAGTTTCATAAAATGTTGATTTTTAAAATAGTTTTCTTTGATGTGTAGAGGAAACATTCTATAGATTATTTGCTATTAAAAAGTTGCTACTAATTCTGTAGTAATTTAGATGCTCTGAAGAGAATCTTTTCACACACAAATAGTAAATGCTTCTCAAAAATATTTGTGAAAGAAGTCATGAATCTTCCATTTTACATGTTTTAGTGATGGCTGTATGGTAGCTCATGATTAGAAAAACTTAACATTTGGAGCAATACTGGACTTTTTTCTCATGTTTTGGTTTCTTCATTAATGTGAAAACCATACTTTTGTAGATAAAGTAAGATATGTGCACGGAAGACAAGCTCAAAATGCCATGTGTCTCTACAGCTTTCTTAGGTGTCTAGGAAAACAAGTAATTTGGATTTTGTCTGTCTTGAAAAGTGTCTTGCAGATGCTAGTGTAAAAGAAGTGCCTTCCTGGCTGCCACTTTGTTCCTGCAAGCTTTGACCTCTATCAAGAAAGAGAAGATGGTCCACTGCAGGTGCCAGTGTAAAACCAGGAGACCTGGAGGCTGGGCTTTGGTTTTCTGCCATTCCTGTAGATGTGTGTACCTTGGCCTTTCAGTTAGGGCCAAACCAACAAAGGGCTTTGATGTCGCAGAGCTGAGTGATGTGACATCATGTCCAAGTCCCAGGGGCAGAAGGGGGATTCCAGTCCAAGTTTCCTCCTTCCCAGGGGAGTATTCTCATCATCAAACCACAGGCCAGTTAAGAGTAGTGTCACTTCCTTCTCTTTAAACTTTTTTGCCATGCCAGGAAAAATCAGAACTCGGTGTGCCTAAGAAACAGAGTGAGAGGAAGCGTGATGTCTCAGTCAAGTGGTTAGGACTTTGTTGGGATTACCAGGATGAGTCTGCTGATGCTTCATCCACTGTTGTTTTGTTTATTGTTTTCTCATGCATTTGAACTTGATGTTCTTCCTGAGGTTATCAGCCTTGTCAGGATGTTTTCTTAAGTGTGGAATATATGCTGGGAGAGAAAAGAGAAACTTGGGTGTTGTGCAGGTTTAGGTGGTAGCTGACTGGAGTTCTGAAAATAACCTTGATGCAGCTAGTGGCTTATTTTGAGTCTAGCTTCTTGCTCCATATACAGACCATTTTCCCAGTCTGTAATAACATGGGAATAGCGGTACTTTCCTATGATCTGAGGACATAAAAATGATGAGGTGCTGAGACCCAGCAGGGCAGTGCAAGCGTCATCTGTTGATAAAGTGAGTGAATTACAAGTGCTGTGTGGAGGCATCCATTGCTGCCTCTCTGCAGAGCTTTGCTGTCCTGCACTGTCAGCCTTGTGGGGCAGGAAACAGCTCTTGCTTTGCTCTTCCACTGATGCCCACAGCAAACATGCTCTATGAAGCTGAGTGTACAGGAAGGAATTTTTTCAGTGGTAGTTGTTCCCATGCTTGTACTTGTTCCTGGCTTTCTCCTTTGAATGTTCTAGAAAAGAAACGTTTTCTTACTTATTTTATTTTGAACCAGCTTGGGTGGTACTTGTGCCACTTTGTAACAGCAAAGCTCAGCTCATAAAGCAAATTTTAGCTATGTGAATGGATTTTGTTTTGTAACCTCATCTCTCTACATGTGAGCGAGAGATAATTAGAGCAATTATTAGAGGTTTTTATAATGAAGATCTTGTGTGCTGTACCAGATTGACTGTGCCCACTCTGTGTCTTTATACAGAGAGGAACCTTGTGAGAGTGGGTTGCTTTGTATGTTGAGGCTTGTACATTAATGACTCGCAGATGTAAGCCTTGATTTTTGCACAGGAAGTATAACTTCATAATTTTCATTTAACTTGTTCTTCTTTTAATCTCCTTTAAACTATCCCAAGTGACTCCTCTTTCTGCTTTTAAGCTCTTCAGTTACCAATGGATTGCTCTTGTCTGTGCTGTGCTTCTCTTCTATCTTGTTTGTCCAGACAGAATAAATACTCTTGATTTCTCCAGCTGGTCCTTCTGATTCTTAGAAATGACTTATTTTGACCTGCTTTCAATCAGATTTCTCGCAATTTTAGAGTTGTTAATGGGTGACTTTTATTCCAAGGTGGTTTTATCCTTACACTCGAGCAAAGTAACTGCATTCTCCCCTTTACTT